AGGAGTTTTTTCCCCAAGAAATATCACTTAAAAATTATTTTGAAATAATCTCAGACTTCTAGAAAAGTTGCGAGTACGGTTCAGAAATTTTTGTTTTTTTTTTTTTAGCCAGTCAAATTTAGCAGTGGAGAGGGATTGGATACCAACTTTAGTGACACTAATGTTAATAAGTTCTGATAACCCACTACCATTGGACCAGCCCAGAAATTTTTGTTTACCCAAGACATTTGAGAGTTAAGTTGTTTTACTTGGTGCCCTCTAACTCCCAAATACTTTAGGATATGTTTCCTATTTCCTAGAAACAAGAGCTTTCTCTTATATCACTGTAATACAGCCATCACAATCAAGAAATTGGCATTGATACAGTGCTACTGTGTAATCCTCACACCCCATTCGAGTTTTGACAGTTGTCCCATAAATGTCCTTTATCAAAGGACATAGAAAATCCTTTGTCCTTTTTTAGTCAAAGGATCCTTTGACTTCATGACTTCTGCATTTTTGAAGATTACAGACCAATTATTTTTGTGAAGTGTCCCTCAAATTAAGTTTCTCTGAAATTTTCCTCGTGTTGAAATTCAAGTTGGGTATCTTTGTAGGAATATCACAGAAGAGATAATGTATACTCATTGTGTGTTATCAAGTGGCAAAGATTATTTTGATTTGATTTTATTATCACTTAATCAAGAAAACATTTATTTAAAAAACAACCCACAAAGACAATTCTGACTATACCTAGTACAAAGTTTATAACCTCCCCTTTGGAGGACAATGAGTACAAGAGTATACTGTGAAGCATCAGTTTAGTGGAGAAAAACATTTTTGGTACCAAATCCCATTTTTTTAAGATGGAGGTTGTCTGAGTTCAGAGGGTGGCAATGATATGTAATTAATGCCAAATATCTGCTTTTGGTTGTGATAGGATGAAGCAGTGGGCAAAAGAAAAGAATGCCAAAGCCTATCACTACCAAACAAACTAAACAGTTTTTAAAAAATGTATGTATATGTATATACATATATAAAAATATATAGACACTTACACCATATACTCACATAAGCAGTTTTAGGACACACTGGGTATTTCCATTCAGTCCAATGCAATGTTTGTAAAGAGGGATGACCATAACCAAATTAGATTTCATAAGATCTCAGTTAAAAGCCAACAACCAAGTCTGTAACTCAAATCCGTGGCTCTGTATGCTGCTACTCTGGAAACTCCCAAATGGTTTTTCCACAAAGTCATTATTTCTGATTTCTTGTACTTCTTGCCTTTGGACAAAGCAGGTTCTGGCTTGTTTCAGGACCTCTTGGTTTTTTGACTGCAATTGCTCTTTGATTTTTGGGGGGTTTTTCCTATCTGGTTAATTCTGGCTGTCATTTGAGATTACTGGTATTGGAAATCAGCTTTCAATTTTGTAGTCCTATTTCCTTTTTCTAAAATCATTTGATCCTTTTGATGGAACATCTTCTTCAGGGTGTCCATGTCTTCCATTAGTTGAGTAGTGACGATGGAGTGGTTAGTACCTAGTGAGTCCAGAGCCAGATATGGAGAAAAGCTGTCTCTGTTAATTGTGATTGACTGAAACGTGGACCTTTTCCTCTAGGATGGATTTATTTATACACACACACACACACACACACACACACACACACACACACACGCATACATACATACATAGAAAGGGTTGCAGCCTACAGGCTGGGGAAGCGATAGCCTTGGGCAGAAGCTGAGAGAATGTACTTCCTGGGATTTTATTTTAATGTAAAGATATGGGAAGTCTTTTCTGGCTGTTACAATGGCTGCTACCCACTCTTATCTATCTTCTTGGTGACTGACATTCGATAACTGCTTTCGTGCTTTTTCTGCTTTTTTTGGTTTTCTATGGGATGCACTTTTTTAGTGTGTATGGTCAACATGACTTTCCTGTTTCCCCCTTTTTGGTTATCTTTTCTGTCATACTACTGTTTGCACTGCTACAAGAATGTGGTGGTCTGTATCTCTCTGTTTTTCTAACTGATGTATAATAGATGTACCTATTTTCAGGGTATGTAACGTAATTTAATACATTCATATAGTTTGTAAAGGTCAAATCAGTGTACTTGGGATATCTATCACCTTAAATATTTGTCTTTATGCTAGAACCATTTGAATTCTTCTCTTCTAGCTATTTTGAAATGTACAATGGATTATTGTAAACTATAGTCACCCTACTGATCTGTCTAACACTAGGTCTTATTTCTATCAGACTGTATATTTGTACCTATTAATCAACTTCTTTTCATTGTCCCTCCACCCCCAGCCTCTGGTAACCACCAGTCTACTCTGTATCTTGAGATTCAGTTTTTTAGCTCCCACATATAAGTGAGCACATGTAATGTTTGTCTTTTTATATACCTCTTTTGTACACTGGTGACATTGCCATTAATGTTGCAGTCTTACTGCAGTCCTTATGAAGTTTTGGCATTACTTACAATTTTCTATTCTGAATGTATTTCTTATGTATCATTACTGATTTTAATCTCTTACTGTTCTCAGTCCTCCAGTAGATGCACTGAAAAACAGGAAGTGCATCTTGACACTTGCAAACAACACCTTAAAGAGGAACCATGGTGACACCTGATGCCGGCAGGGAACTCTGCCATGTCGTGTCCCGGCAGTGTTCACTGTGCGGCTGTCCTAGCCCACTGATCTATCTGAATGATGTGAGACATAACCAGTTGGTGGTCCCAGCATTGTCCAGTGATTTGTAGAGGGCAGGTAGCTTGGGGTCAGCATGGCTGGGCCAATATGTGAATTTTTAATGTAGAAAAATAGAGTTGACTTATATATCATGTAATCTATACTTTGTTACATACAACATATGGGGCCATATAAATTCAACACAAGTCTTTGATTGTATTTGAGAGAAAAAAGTTGACAGAAGTGTTTATTGTTTTACTTGATGGGAAAAAATTCTTTGAAAACACAGCATGCTTCTGGTTAAAGTGTGAGAACATTTTTTTTCATTATATTAGCAAAATCTGCCCATTTTAGATGTTGAAAATTCTTTGTTTATATATACCCTGCCTTTTTCCAGAAAGAATTTGAGGTACATAAAGCCACGTTGAGAGGTGAGCCTCTGAAGTTGACGTTTTTAAGATGCTGCTCAGAGAAATAGGGGGTAGATGTCCAGACAGTCTGGGCTTCCTTCCCTTTCCTTCACGTTCTCTACTTCTCTCCACCGTAAACACACACACACTTTGGATAGCTCAGGAACCTTAAATCTGTAAGATATTCCATTTATAATTGTGAAGGCATTATCATAAATGTTGGTTTCACTTTCTTCATCATCAAAGTCTCTGTTAGAGGAGGAACCAGCTACTTGATTTGTATATATGTATATTTATTTTTTCTAGTCCAGGGAAAATTTGGATTATAATACTTGGTTTTATTTCTTTTCTTACAGAAAAAGCATGCTTTACGTTGCTATTGTCAAGCCATGCAAGTTTACAAAGGAAAAGGCTGGTCTCTTGCAGAAGATCACATTAACTTCACTATTGGGCGCCAGTCCTATACTCTTAGGCAACTGGACAATGCTGTTTCTGCTTTTAGGCATATTTTAATCAATGAAAGTAAACAATCTGCTGCTCAACAAGGGGCCTTCCTCAGAGAATATCTTTATGTTTACAAGGTGAACACTTATTTTCAGGGGTAGAAATTAAAATTGTATTTCAGCAGAAAACGTATTCATTACCATCTTCTAGCAGTCTAATAAAATGGGTTTATTAGAATATATGTAACTATCTGTCATAATAATATCGTGGCAGGCTAGGCTTCTTGGTCATAGAATTTTGGCCAGGTACAGTGGCTCACTCCTGTAATCCCAGCACTTTGGGAGGCTGAGGCAGGAGGATCACTTGAGGCCATGAGTTTGAGACGAGCCTGAGCAATGTAGCGAGACCTCGATGCTACAAAAAATATAAAAATTAGCCAGACATGGTGGCATGTGCCTGTAGTACTAGCTACTCATTGTTTTATAGAAAATATGGGAAGTTGTAATTTTTTTCCCAAGGCCTGTGAATATTGTATCCATCATGCAGAAAATAATTATCCTTCTAGACTTTATTATTTTAAAATTATAGGAGTTAGAATTTTGGCAGGTAGTGTGCTGTAAGGAGTCATCGGAAGTAAAGTATGTACCACAATAACATTTAGAAGTTTAACATCCAGAGAACTAATTAGCTGAGTAACCTTAGGAAGATTCTCTTGAGGTAGAATAAATGA